CAAAGTGTTGCTCAGATTAATTTTATTTCAAATGATTTTTTTTCCTATTACAATTCTGTTTTCCGCGCAATCGGATTCTTGAATAAGAATATATTCTGACGGATGAATGAGCTAATGAATTAATTAGATATTTCTCTTTTTACAAATTTCGACAAGCAAAATCAAAAATCTGGAAATCCGATTTCGTCCAGATTTCATTCACCGTTTTGTTTTACAGATATCGATCTATATAAGGAAGTCTCTACTTTAATATTTTGAATAAATTTCCAAAGTGTTGCTTAGATTAATTTTACTTCAAATGATTTGTTTTCCTTATACAATTATGTTTTCTACGGAATCGGATTCTTGAATAAGATTATATTCTGACGGATGAATGAGCTAATCAATTAATTAGATATTCCTTTTTTACAAATTTCGACAAGCAAAATCAAAAATCTGGAAATCCGATATCGTCCAGATTTCATTCACCGTTTTGTTTTACAGATATCGATCTATATAAAGAAGTCTCTACTTTAATATTTTGAATGAATTTCCAAAGTGTTGTTTAGATTAATTTTACTTCAAATGATTTGTTTTCCTTATACAATTATGTTTTCCACGCAATTGGATTCTTGAATAAGACTATATTCTGACGGATCAATGAGCTAATCAATTAATTAGATATTCCTCTTTTTACAAATTTCCAACAACAAAATCAAAAATCTGGAAATCCAATTTTGTCCAGATTTCATTCACCGTTTTGTTTTACAGGTATCGATCTATATAAGGAACTCTCTACTTTCATATACCAAGTGAATTCTGCCATTTTGTATAACTAAGTTCTATATATTAGGAACAATCTTAGTACAAGCATTGTTCAATTTTAAGAAGGATCGTAGTATATACATTGTTGGATTCTAGGAATAATCCCAGTTGAAACAGTTGACATCCTTTAGACTCTTGATGACATCCTGATGCAATCTTTAGAAATTTTGAAAAAATCCTGGTGAAATCTGTTCAAAATGTCGATTCAATCTTTGGAAAATCTTTAGAATTCTTGATGAAAGCCTTGAGAAATCTTCCTGAAATCTTCAGAAATCTCGTCGAAATCCTTGAGAAATCTTTATAAATCTTGATGAAATCCTGAGGAAATCTGGATGAAATCCTGGACAAGCATTTAGAAATCTTGATGAAATCCTTGGGAAATCTTCATAAATCTTGATGAAATCTTCTGAAATCTCGATGAAATCCTTGGAAATTTTAAGAATGCTAGAATGAAATCTGTGTGCAATGTTGATTGAATCCTTGTGCAATCGAAACAGATTCAGCCAACTTCTGATGAAATCCGACTGTATTCTGTCGGAGCCTTACGTTATCAGGCGTTTCTCTGTGAAAGGATCCTTGTGGTTACGACATTATCTGACAAACAGTTCCGACAGGATCCGATCGGATCCTTTCCGACGTAATCCGGTGCGGAATCCGTTAGTTAGGAATCCTGTGAAATACGGTTGGGTTCCGATCGGATTTAGTTGGGACCCCGACGAATTCCGGTGTGATCCGACATCGGATCCGATAGTTTCCGGTAGGATCTACAGGTCGGATTGAATCACCTGGGTGAGATCATTTCGACGTACAGTTTTCGAACACTCTCGAAAGATTGTTTCAAATGGAATCGAAATTCGATAAAAATAAACAGAATTTTGTACAACAAATGCCTTATTGTTGAGTAGCTGAAACGTATCGAATATACGTAGAGAAGAATATTTGAATGTGTCTATCCTATGATGCAGCTTTGTCGAACATCTAAACTAAATAGAAAGTATTATTCTTCTATGAAAGTCACATTTTCAATTCGTTAATAATATAGTATGTTGACGATTATATTTTTCTAAAACACGATCTGAAAGGAGTATTGAAGTGTTTAGGGTAGAAATTTTGGACTCCCCCCTCTCCCACAGACCGTGACAGAGATCTCCGGTACCCATCACAGACCGTGACAGAGAACCCTGGTACCCATCACAGACCGTGACAGAGAAACTGCAGTTGTAAAGCAACAGATAGACGGTTAGCTACAAATGTGTCGCAAAGAAATGGAACAAAAGGATTTCCGTTTAATTAGTAACAATAGATCCATTGTGTTTCACATTTTTAATCTCGCAAGGGATTGCGCTAACAGCTTTTTATTTTTATATCTGCTAGTCATTTTTATTAGTTACAAATAACATTTTATGAGCAAAAATTTGCAGATGTCTAACTAACAGAGAAGCTTTTCGCGAATTTTAGACCCTATATAAAGAATTTTTTTGATAAATATGATATTTGATAAATAACTGATCAGTGTGATAAAGTATAAAATGAACAATTAGAATTTTTTTCAAAAATTAGTAAAGCAAAAATTGGTTATAATTGCGTTTTCATTAAGAATACTGGCAAATTTTAGTCTTATTTTTCATCAGCTGATGTTACATGCTGCTCAGAAAATCATGACATCAAGATAACATGTGTTGAACATAAATAATTCTGCTAAGATCGTTGAATAAATAGAAAAGACATTTCAAAATCGTTTTTGGAAGCAGTTTCATGTGACCGAAATTAGACTTAACAGTCGAAGCTGTTACTATGCTATACCCTTCTCTTCATTAGATCGAACAAGTACGTTCCTTAAACAACTATTAATCATCATATTTTGGTGTATTACATAGTTCCGTATTATAACCGTATTTCTCCATATACTTCATTCTAGGTCTAGATAATGTCGCAAGTTCAAGCACGAAGATCAAACCATTTATGCTGATTAGATCTTAAGATCTTGTCGTCTTCGACTTTACAAATAGACATTACTAACGTTGATTAAACTGGAAAAGTAGTAACTGTTTAATTATTCAGATAAAAATAACAGACTTGTTAGAGGGTGAATTCAAACTACACTTTAAAAATGCGTCACAACAGAACGTGCTGCAGATTCGATGGAAGAAATGTGTTTCAACAAGCGCCGCATGTTGCACTTTATTTTTTCATACATTGTGTTGCCAAGTACGACACATGCAACACATTTTATGTTAGTGTGTTCAAGTAGTTAAAATATACCCGAAGAAGGAGTAGTATTCTTTTGATAGATTCCCTCTCGTCTAATACGCAAAACTTCGGTTAGTGCCGACGTATCGAAGCATGTTCGAGGAGTTGAAAATGACTACCTGATAGGATAGAGTTGCCGGGTGCCGAGAATCTAACGCATGTTGGGTGGCTCGACATTGGAGTAAAACGAACAGAACATACATATTATAAATGTTGAACCTCTCGTCGCGCTCAACGTATGTTTTTCAAAGTCTGTTTAGGTCTGTAGTTCAGATATGGTACGTTCGACAAGAAAAACAAATAGTTAAGTTGAAAGTCAACAATCTAGTCTAACAGTGTTTGACCTTTTTGCCATAGCTTTCCTATTGCATGTTTTATTTTTTTCCAAAATATGTGATTGCTTCATAACTTGTTCGAGGTGCACAAGTTATGGCCTAAAACTTGGTGATCATGTTTATCTTTTTCCTTTAATAGTAACACAGGTACTTTTAATATAGTCTTAGTTATAATATAAATCTTACTTGTGTCAGATTGCGTATGGCAAATACCAAAAATCAATAAAAAAATCACATAAAGTCTTGACTGAATAATCTTCATGTTTGATAAGTTATTCAATACAAACGAATAAACCATCAAATAATCAGGTTTTGCAGGGTTAGTTTCAACCGTCGGTCTGCGTTAACAAGCGATGCAGGTAACTAAATCCCAGTAAATGCTATACTAAAAGAATGCTGCTTTAATTGTATAGACACATAGCAGCAATACTATTTTCATAGTCGAATAATCTGAAAATGAGCTAGCGATGCAATAAATTTAATCATTCTGTCATGCCATTATATTTATATGTATATCATACATCGCTTATTTAAATATATAAACAAGCATGACTTTGGTCTTGTTTTATTTATTCCTCTAAAAATATTGACTAAAGTACACATAGAGAAAAAAATGCGTTTTGTGTAGTTAGCTACGTATGTCTCGTCTCATGTGTTTCGAGTGAATGACTCATCACAATATGAAATCAATTTTTAAAACAAATGAACAAACGCTACATCATTTTACATCTGCCTGACGGTACATAAGCAATACTGCAACTAAAAAACAATAAAAAAAGTGAATCGATTTCATTCGTGTACTTTTTTTATTGTTTTCAGAATTAAAAAGACGAGTAGAAGAAAAAAAATCAAATTCGTACGTTGTTATTTTGTCTTTTTTCAGTAAACATTTCAGCAATCATTCATAATTTTCCTTGGTAAAAGAAAACCAAGTAAATGTAAGAGATGTCGATGAATTTTTTTTTCGAATAATTTCACATGCATTTTACTTCATATTTACTACACACTTTCGAAGTTTTTCGTTCTTTATATTTCATTCATTCAATTCAATAAGTGAACTTCTACCATAATATCAATGTCCCTGATCAATTCTATTTACATTTCTCTTTCCTTGCCATATTGCAATTGCTTTAGTAACCAGTTAAATATATTAAAGAAAGCGAAACAGATGACGATAAATAAATGCATCTACCATAATAATATGTTAGTAAAAATAACTACCTGCATTGTCATCCCATTGCTTCGTTTAAATATAAGACGAAAAAGAAAAAAACATACCTTACTTTTTTTTTGTGATTGATAATTATGAATAAAACTCAAATTATTTCATTATATTCACTGAAAAGATTCATAAAAAGCCTACTTTTCAACCTTGAGATTGTGTGAATAGTTGACTAAGTAAACCAAAACGAAATTTGTTTTTCTTAGGTTTTTTTTCTTTTTGGTCTGTAAATCAACATTAGAATACTTATATGTGAATTTCTTTCACTATATCTAATCCAAAAATTGTTACACTTCACACACATACACACACGTAAGTTCAATCAAACATGAACATTTTATTTTTATAACATCTATGAAATTTTTTTTCTACTGATTCGGATTAAAAATTTAATCAGATGTATAAAAAACAAAAATGTACCAATAAATACAATTACAAAGAACAAATAAAGATGGAAAACCAATGCGTGAAAGACGATCAAGTTTATGTAATGGTGCTTTTCGTGTTAAAAAAAGTAAACCTTGTGCAACAACTGCCATTGTTGAACGACGAGCATGGTGTACTGAACGAATTTTTGGCATTCGACTAGGTCTTAATACAAATAAATTTGAGGAACGAGATGTAATTGCCATATGTCGTTGTCTTGATGATTCACATAAATCTTCACTAGTACGTGTATTAGTTAATGAATGACCGTACTTAAAAAAAATAAAAGAAATATACATTAGAATTAAAATAAGAATCTTTAATTATTGTATACATACTTCCAGATAACGATGAACCGCAGTATATTGAATTAATGAAGCAAGTAAAAATAAATAGCAAATAATAAAAAAATAATCAATAGCAGTTAAATAAGGTACAGCTGGAATATGTGAACGAATATCAAGTGCAAGTGTTGTAAGACTAAGTATAGAAGTAATACCTAAATGAAAATTTAATTAAATAAAATTTAAATTCTATAATCTAATCATCATTAACAAACCAATATAAACTCGATCGGCTGTTGCTTCACTATCAATCCAAAATGATATCCAAGATAAAATAACAAGTAAAGCTGCTGGAATATAACCTTGTAATAAATAATAACCAACACTACGACGCATTTGCAGATCAAGTTGCAGTACAGAATGATTTCCTTTCAACAAAATCAAGGAAAAAATATATTAGTTTCTTTTCTGTCTCAATGCATACGATCATTCAATTGAATTTCTCTTTTTGAAATTCTATAATTAAATAAATCAAATTGAGATAATTTTGAACGTTCTAATTCTACACCATTATGTTCATCAAGTTTCCAATCATAAATAACATCACGTGTTCCATAAGCATCTATAATTAAAGAAATAAATAGAAAAAAAAAATTTTTTTTTTTTTTTCTAACTTACAACTTGATAAAATTAATGAACAAGTTTGAACATCTAATGGAAATCTTTGTAAAAGCATTGAACAATAAGCTTTAATTGTTAATCTTGTAGGAAAATAAGACAATTTGATTTTTTTTCATAGAAATAAAATAACAAAACAAATAAACATACCGACTTGAATATAGTAATCGACCATTTTCAAGAATACGTAGAAGATGATTAAGTGTTGGTGTTGTATGAAGATAACCAGAATGAGAATTCATAAAATATGTATCAGGTTTCCATATTGCACTAATAAAAAAATATTGTAAAACATTAAAAATAAACAAGAGAAAAAAAGACATTGAAATCAACCTAAGTAATTTTGTTGATACAGCTACATTTGATATTTTATTAGGTAAAGTAAGACGTTCATCAGTCCAAATTTGACGAAAAAATAAATTCATTGTGAACGACTATATGTTACAAAAGAAAAAAAAAGAATTAAAAAAAAATCATATCCTACCATATCTAATTCGACAATAGGTCCTAGAATAAATAATATATAAAAATATCGATCAATAGACATCGTCATATTTCACATACCTAGAGTAATAATCATCAAATAAACTTGAACATGAAGTGGATCTCCTAAAGAAAAAAAAAACGACAAGATATAATCAAATAGATTTTTCGATAAATAAATTCTACCAGTATGATTAGGTCTCAATTGTTTATTATATCCAAAAAGTAAAGCATTAAGAACACATGTCAAGTTATTTGCTGTTGGCCAACATGTTTCATTTAATGATAATATGGGAATAGATTGAAAAAGACCTATAGTCAAAATGAGCAAATACCACATGATTCTTGTCGTTATGTTCTTCTGTTTTTAGTTTATTTAAATTGAGTTTTTCTTCGTTATTCATCGTTGATTTTTATGTTATTTCTTGTGGAAAATTTAATCATTGTCATTCAATCATATTCATTATTCAAATCATTGTTGGATATTGTCAGAAAAAGAGAAACAACTTCATTAAATTTGTTTGATACTTAATTGTATTTGTCAAACGACAGACAATCGATTTTGTATATTCATACGAAAATGTTTTTGAAATCTCACACCGAATAGAATTTTTTTTCTTTCCAAAGAAAATTACAAATATTTTTCTTAGAACCTAATATGAAAACTATTTCGTGTTAAAGTGACTAATTAATCCCTTTTATTATTTAACGAAAATCAATTTCTAAATTAGTTATGAGCAAATAATTTTAATCGTCAATGTATCCCATATCGTGTGCACGATTTACTGTTCGCTGATTATTTGGAGAAGACAATAGCAAATGAGTAGTAAGGATGTGAATGTCGTTGAAACGAAGACCTACACACGCACAACTCTATTATTCTTATCTCTTTTTTTCAAATAATTAATGAACAGTAAATCATTATCTTCGTGTGACTCACACTTTGAAGATTCGAAAAGAAGGTATGCCTTGAATTTCTTGTCGTAGACGAATTATTTATTGTCAAAAACGAAAATTATCACACAAGAGAACTAAAATTGTTTTTATTGATATCTGTCTCAATCTATGGAATTAAATTCTTCTTTTGTAATAAGAAATATCTGACAACTCAAACATTCGAATATATTTTGATTGAAAATGTAAAACACGTAATATGATCACAGAATCAATTTGCAAAAATTCAATTATATATGACATCTGTAATGAAAATGACCTTAGAAAAAGTTACATACTGAAAATGAAAGCTTCTCAAGATTTTAGTTTTAACAAATCAGACAAACTGGTGTCATATCTTATTATAAATTCGAAACAAAAGACTACTAATCGTTTAATCGGACGAACATGTACATAACTGTTAATGAAAGATATGATCCAATAATTCTAATCCTAAAAAAAGAGAATTTTATATGATAAATCAATTTCATTAGTATAAAAAAACCACAGTTAAATTAAGTTTTATTATAGATTAGTTGTGGATCCTAAATAAGAGATATATCATTATTAAAACACGAGTAAAACAAGCAATTGAATTCAGTATAACATAGAATCTTGTGAAGACTGCAGTAAAATATAGTGACTAGATACATGTTTATAAAAAACACTCAATAAAGCCGTAAGATCTTATTTAATATGATATTTTAATTAAGTCGTCATCAATAGGGAAATCCATCGCTTCTGTCTTGCGTAGAGATAGTGGTTTTTGTTCTAGATTCTTGTGTATGGCTTGAACTACATTTCTTTGTCGTTCTTCTTTCTTATTCGAATTTTTATCTTTACTTGATGGAACACCAGTTGTTTTTAATAGTTCTATTGCCGCTGAAATATGTTTTTGCTTATCCATTTTTTGTGATCGAATTAGTATATATAAAGTTATTGACCAAACACCTTCCAATCCATTCAATATAATAAAAATCCATCCTAGAATATTTCCAGCTATTGGACTTATAAATGAAATAAATGGACCAAATAACCATCCAATACCTTGTGTTACACATGATGACAACAGAACAAGAATACATCGTTTTAATCGTTCATTTATTTGCTCAGGTGTTACAGCATTACGTGTATAAGTAATTATACTTTTCGAAACAAGAACAATTGTTATAATATTAAGTAAAAGAAATATACAAATAGGTATTGTTAGAAAATAATAAATAACATTTCGAGTAAACCAACAAAGTCTATATGGATATAATTGTGTAATATTATACGATGATTTGGTATTAAAACCAATTGCAAAAGCAAGACAGAAAAGTGAAATAATAAATGAGATGATAAGCATAATTAAAAGTTTTCGATGTGATGGTTGTGGGAAAAGACGAACAAAACGTAAATAATAAAAATAGCCGACACTTGTTTTGACACAAAACATAAAAATTAATAAGAAATAAACAATAAACATCAATATACTTGAACTTAAAAAACACTGAGTTTGATTCGAAGATGATGTTTGAGTATATACAGTCATAGAAAGTATAATAAAAAAAATAAAAAGTATGGTTGTACTTGCGGTTGAAATTAATGGAAGTAAATTGAGTGCTTGGACATCTATTGATGATTTTATAATACGTATACTAATTGCATGAATAATAATTGCTAGAAAGCATAAAATAGATATAGATTGAAATATAAGTGAAGCGATATCTTGTGCATCAAGTTTCTTTGTAAAAATTTCTGTTAATAACGATTCTGGTAACCAAATAAGAGCAAAAGAAGTTAAATGATAACAAACACATTCATATCGATTAAATTCTTTATTATACTGAGCATTACTACAACCAGATTCATTCCATTGCGAATTGTTTGTGTCATAAAATGAACATAAATATTTTCCAGAATCATTTCGTTTATATTCATCTAACGGATTAAAATATAAAGAAATAATTATTGAATTTAAACTAGAATTATTTCGTCGTAGACTAGTAATAATAACAGATGATGCAAGTGTTTTGTTTGTTGAATTATCAACATATTCATATCCAGTAGGTTTATCAATAATAAGCATATTAAAAGATATTACACCATCTAACGATTCTTGACTAACAATGGCTGCAGCTGAGAAAAATGAATGCGTTATATTTTGTTCATTTAATGTATCAACAATGTTACCACCAATACCACGTTTAAATGAAGCACCCAAAATAATCATATTATTACCTTTATTTGGATGTTGCACCATAAGAAATGATGTATTTGAGTTTATAGTTAAATTGACACCATTCAGATTGTCGACTATATTATTAATATTATTCACTGATAAAACATGCGTCTGGTTTTGTATTGTTGTTGAGTTTGTAATTGAACTAATATACAATGAAAGAGCATGAGATGTTTCAGTCGCATTGTGAGAACTATTGTTTAATATACTGACTGCAATTTTCTACATAAAAAAAAAACAACTCAATAGAAACAAACAAATGCATGTCTTTTATTTATCATACTTGTGCATCAATTTTGGATATACAAGTACCGTTAGATAATCGAAGAAAATCTTTCATGAGACAATTATCAGGATTATATGATGGAGTAGAAGTTTGTACGGTAGTGACTTTAATAAAAACAGATGATCAATGAGAATCTAGAATATATATGAAATACCTAGTGTGCTAAAACTTGTAATAATATATATTGAAGGTATAGTTGATTCTGTAGTCGTTATTATCTTTGAAGTTGAAGCTGTTGTTGGTGGTAATAAACCTATAGTTACAAAAAAAACTGACACATATGGACAAATGAATTTACTGGTAGATATATTTATTTAATATCGTTGTATGGATAGGATTCGATTAGTTAAAATATTTGATGCACTTTTACCATGAAAACAGCATACACTGAAGCTTTGAAGATTAAAATATATGGCTTGTGTTGTTTTGTAAATTTTTGACTAGCAACTCTAAGACATTTTTGAAACATCAAAAAAAAAACGGTTACTAACTATACAAAATGCTTTCTTGTTTAAAAATCTTAGTGAAAAAAACTCATCTCTTGTGTATTTTGTTCTGTAAGTCATCTTTTAATTATTACAATTTGAAACATTTAATCAAATCTATTCAAGTTTTACATACTAATAATAGACAAGTAAAAGAAAAAGCTACTTACTTGCCAAAAATGCTGATGCATCATCGATAAATATTGGATTTGATAGATTATCACGTTTTACTTTATGTAATGTAATAAAACTGTCATCTAACATATTCGTATTATTGTCATAATTGAAAAGTTTCACATTATCATATGAATTCACAATCATTAGATAGAAACCAAAATTTAATAAATAAATAAAAGAAAATCTAATAATCATCATCTGTATCGTAATTAATATGTCATTTTCTGAAAAAATAAAGCATATTTACTTTTTGAACGACATCATCTATTTATAAAGAAAATTTTAAAAACGTCTTTTTAAGCTTTTAAATTCGATCTGAATATTATACTTTTCTCATGCGAACATGAACGAAGTGATTTTACCTTTTCATCTATACTAAGTCGAAACAAAAATAACATAACTAATATTGAAAAGATCGATCATCAATAATATGATATTAACTTATGATTTAGCAGAACTTGAATATCGATTCGTATTTTTCATTTATTGAAGAAAAAAAACATCAAGTACTACGAATAAAGAATAGCTTCTGTAATGAGTTCCTTCCTACGCCCTGGTGAATGGAAAAATAATGTAAAAAGAAAACGAATCCATATTTTAATAGAAATGAGTAAATTACTAATGTCATTATTTGACAATTTGTTGACAAATAACATAAAGGAGCAATCGAAAATAGAACGAAGGAGAAAATACAAGTAAAAAAGGCAAAAGTTAAACTTCTTTCATCGTATGTTATTATGTCTGTATTCTCTTATATCGGAATTCCTATTCTACCTCTAAGTTAATTATCAAGTTTTTTTCAATCTATGTATTAGAACATATCTATATAAAAGTTTTTTCTGTATATAAATATGTGGATCTGGTTCTGAATTTGGATCTAGATGCCGTTGGAAAGAACACCCACACACTTTTCATTTGCTCATTTCTCTTTTCCCAAATAATCAATATAAAGTCTTAGCAACGAAAACTATCTGTTTTCTTGAAAACAATAATTAAAATCGAATAATAATAATGAACAAACAGTAAATTGTGTCAACCGAATAGATAAAATGTTGTAAATTTGAATATTGCAAAGAAATTGACACAGATGAATGAAATAGGAATTTTAACCGTTATGGAGTATCCAAAATTTTTGTGATTATATTATTCTGAACAAACGAGTTATATCTTCATGTTTCAGAAAAATATGAAAGGGTACATTTTCATTTTATATTACAAAAAATTGTCTCTTAATTGTTGTATCTTACTGAATAGAATAAAAATTGAATATTTCGTTTTGCTTATCGCTTTGTTCTCTTTAAATCAACATTTTTGATACACATATGTTATTTCAAATCCAATCATATCTAAATGTATATTTTAATTCAATTGAATTGATTTTTTCTTTTTGCTTAATTTTATTAGAAGCGTTTAAAATAACATGTATAAATGAGAGAAGATCTTAACAGAGTCTTATTATAGAAAATGGAAGCTTTTTTCGAAATTAAAAAGTATTTCATAGTATGTTCTTGAAAAGTAACTACAATCTTAATATTCACATCACTAACTGTGATGAATATAATGAATTTGTTTAAACATATATTTATGTTTGAAAGATTATTTTCATGAAACTCACAATTCAATTGCATTCACACTATATAGCTCATTTAATTTTTCATCAGTGCAAAGTCTATAAATAAAGTTAGTTCGTTATTAATGAGCAAAATAAACTAGATTATAATGATATTTTCTATTAAATATTCAGTCAGCGTTATTAGCTAATTTTTTAACATGATAAAAATTGCTTGATGGACAATGACTTACATGAATCATATATTCAAAAGATGTTGAATGTGAAAAGCTGTTTTCTTTTCAAATGATAGCACTTGGTTCAAATCAGTAGCTAATTATTCCCTACTTGCTAAAATCTACACATGTGAATGTAATCAAATAGTGTTGAAATTGTAAGCAAAAGCTTTTAAAATCTTCTAAATCCTGCATGTAATTTAAATAACGAAATTAGAATAATAAAACTATTGGCAGTGTCATACGATTATGCCCTAATAACAAACAAAAACTAAGCCAATTGGTACAAAAATGTTTACAATCTGCAATGCACAAATTGATGTTGACCTCTTTTTTCATGCGTTTCCATATAGCAAACACTTTTTAGTTATCAAATATTCCATAGCTTTAATTAAAACTAATTTATATTGATAAAAAGACAATACTTATTCTTTATTATTAAAATTTTTGACATCTTTTACAATGTTGACATAACGAAACGAGACAGTTCTTAAAACATTATAATAAGCATCGAAATCTTTATCTTAAATATATAATTAGTTTTTTTTGAGTATCTTAATTTTATTATCATCTTGTACATATTTGCCTTTTTTGTATGTTGTTTTTGCCTATAATGACACTTAATAGATTGTGTTGATAATTACACTTCGTTAATCCACACCTATAGATCAAGACGTAGTTTAAAATTTTTGCTTTCACAATTATATATTAATATTATTAAGAGAATAGAACTTTCAATCAAATATTTCAATAATTTATTAATAGAAGTGTTCGCAGCTTGAAAGTCACGATCTCCAACGTATTTAAATTCGATGTACGTCATGGAGAAATGTAATATTAAATAAGATATGAAGCCAGTAAAGTCACAACATTCACTGATAAAGGTGTACATGTTTCAAACTTATAAAAGATTTCATTTTAATTAAATGAATTCTTAATACAAATTTTTGGTGAATATCGTAAATTTCGAAGATTGTAAAACTATGAGAATAATATCTATAGTTTTTCATCGGTATGAACCTTTGTAAATTCTTTATTGAATGTAAAACATGGTTTTTATTATATACAAAAAAAAAGTTGATGAATGTTTTCTAAATTAAACAAATATGATCACTAGCATATTAGTAACAAATCGTTTAGATTAAGTCAATGATATATCAATTAGACATGGGCACAGAACAGGACTACACAAAAAAAGTTACCTAGTGCTCACTTTTGGCACAGAGTCGATTCTTGGGGCTAGGTAGATTATCAAAGAAAGAAGAACTAGTCTGAACAATTGGATAATATTTTATTAATTCAATCCATGTAAAATAATAAAGTGCTTTTATAAAACCATTTGTTTTTTTTTGTTTCATATATATTTCAGGCAGAGTTAAGATTTAGGGAAAAGTTAAACAGAATTTGTCAAAGGTTTCAAAATTAAAAACGTCGAAAAAGATAAGAATAAAAAACTAATCTTACATATCTGTATAAAGTTCTTCTCAGCTGTAGTTCAAGGTTAGTTAAATCTAGGCAATGGTAAAGTTTGACACTGTTTTCTATTGAAGTTTAATTTGTCTTAACAAGCTTTGACCAAAGAAAAAAGGAAGTGTCTTTGAGCTTATATTTTTTGACTAGCATTTTTTGCCATTGTTTATTTGTCTTTGAATTTTACTTGGTTAATAGATTATATATAACGTATAAATATAGGATGCTGTTAAATTTCTTAGAGTTATTGTTCAAACCAAACAAATGAAGGATATTTTAGTTTACGTAATCCTTGCAGTAGAATATTAGCTGCCTTCAATTGAAATTTATTATGCCAAATATTCGAAATGATACTTCGTTGGAATTAAAAATACTATTGAAAATCATTTCCTGATATCAACGAAGGAAAAGTCACTCATGCTTACGTTACAGTATGAATAAATGACAATAATGTGTCTAGTAAAAAGGTATGTATATGTTATGGTTTCTCTAATACAAACGAAAATTAAAATCTATTATTAGATAAAAGAAAACTAGTTCGTAGTTTTGCCTTTAACTAAAAAAAGAATTCTGTTTAAATTTAATTTTGTCTGTAACATATACGTATTTCCTTCTTCTCTGTATCACTATTTTTAGCAAATACTTTTTCATTTATTTTTCTTAATAGTACCCACCATATGTTAAGATAGTGACGATATAACTACAAGGTTCATAGTTTTTTATATGTATTTACTATGACGAACGTGCCATTAAAATAATAAATCAAGATGTTTCTACATTTTTTGTCTTGATAATTTAAGTCATTATTGGAAGTTTTAGTTGTTGTACTTGAAAGTGATATCAAAGGAGTTAGCTGTAAGATAATGAATAAACTAATGTATAACTTGGTGATCGAAAGTCAAAATAAGAATTCTAACTGTCCAGTTCTGTACCTATCTCTAATATCAATTGGGTCAATATAATATTGATATGTTTTGATGAATTGATCAAAACAATAATTTAAATTACAAAATGAAGAAGAAAAAAACATTGGTCTTATGCATAATAATGAAAAATGAATAAAGATAATTTAAGTAGTAATTGTTTTATTAATTTTAGTGTGAAAATAAAATGTTAGCCTGAAAAATCTTTTCGAGCTTGATTATTGTATTTATTTTAAGACGATATATCAATGATAAAATGCTGACCCAACTTTGTCAAGAAATAGAGAAGATGAATTCAAATAATTGACGTACAATAAGATCTATTTTACATATCTTTTATTTAAAACAAACTGATGATTAGATACTTGTGAACAAAGTTCTTTTTTTTTCAAAAAAGTTTTGAATTTAGACTTTTTTTCAGAATGAATCAATGGTGTGATATATTCTTTTAACTAAAACATTTAATAAGAACGAATATCATAGATTTTCATAAATATCAATAACATCTATTCGAACGTCAAGTATAAAGAGTATGCATGTATGACGATCAAATATATTTCGCAATAAATGCGACTTTATGAACAAAGTACTTTTTCATTATATTATTTTTCTCTACCATTAATCGCTCTGAATTCAACAAATTTACTTTTATTTCTTCACTGTTGTTAGTTTCCTCAGTTGCATAATTGAATAAATCATTTGTTAATACTATCACAGATTTCTGTACTTCTTTATGAAGAGACATGTAGCTTCTGTTTTGATTGAATATTATTTGTAATCTGTTGAACGATGCAGCACTTAAAAACTACAGTTCGCGACAAAAAAAACTGTTTTGCATGAAGGGCTAATATTCTGTATGATATTGAACTGATATTTTTAGTGCATGCATACGATAATAAAGTCTGATCGAAAACACTAGCATGTTTTGCATCTGTTCACATACATTGGAGTTATGATTAAGGCATTGTCTTCTTCTTGTGATCACCTTATCTCGATCGTGTTTGGCATAAATGTTTTTTTTTGCCAACTTTCTTATTTACAATTTCAATATTGTAGCTACCTTTAGTCCAAATTTTATTAGTGATCACTTAAAAAATAACTGAGATATTGTCTTCTCATGAAGAATGTCTATTAACGAGCAAATGCTGGTTTTTAGTAAGAGAGATCTTCTTTGCAGTAGCTTTGACGAATTCATTTGAAAGTTTCTAAAAGAAAGTTCATATGAAATACTGAATCTGTGATAAAGATTTTAGAAGATCGATAACATTAAATGAAGTCGAGTTAGTGCTATGAAATGGATTTACTATCTTAGATTGTATTAATGACTAAGATATTGACTACGTGTCATTGGCTTTGATGAGAATAAAATCAACATATGGAATTGCTTTCAGAGCTAAAAAAAGTTATTAGTAGCATATGAAATCGCTAAATGACAAACAAAACTTATTTGAATACGTATTTCCGCTGAATATGTTTTTTTTACATGGGAAAGAAAGTATTTGAATCATGACTCTAGTATTTGTGAAACGACGGAAGGCAAGTTGGTGTTTGTGATCAAGATTTATTTTCGTACGCTTGAACTCCAAATGCCAGCTCAATATAATAGAAAATAGTAGCACTTCAGAAGAACGCAGCTATTTTTATTTAGCACTCTAATAACTATGAAAATTGATTACTCTTTATGATTCACAGTCTGTCAGAATTATTCATGATCGTAGGAGAGTTCGAAGACATTGAGAATGTACGAGAGATGTAAAAAAATTGTTCCAAGAAATATTATAAAATTTTTGAAAAAGTCTTATCTGTTTTTGGTGACATTAAAGAAAAAACTTTAGATTATCAGAGGGTTCAGTTTTCTCCTCAAACTGCACATTTTTGTGAATGAATGAATATTATGTCTGAAATGTCATTGTCTTCATAGAAAAAAACGGATGTTACTTGCAATATTAAATTTAGCTTACTTTTTAATATAAGAAAAACAGATGTCTAATGTACACTATTTACTATTATACATATACTTTATTTTAAATTTAAAAATTAATCTTCTGCAGGTATTCATATATATAAATATTTTTAATAGAACCTCTCATGTGTTTTCTTTATGCATAAATAATTTATCTAAAAAAATGAAAAAGCTCATTCGTTCAAGTGTATCGAGTCAATTAATTGACTCAAGTAACCATTTATATAGTCTTTCCAAAAACTGGCATTTTTATTTAAGAGATAGGTAACATATAGCTGTCAAATATTCATTAGTTGATGTACAAGTTTAAAACGTATGAAATTTCAAAAAATATAAATTTTAGTGTTCATCAAGAAACTAAATTTTCCGATTAATTCCACATATATATGTATATAGCAATAAATCAATCATGATGGAACACTGATTTTAATATAGGCAGAAATGCATTATTTCAATGAAAATGAAACGCAATAATTCTGTTTCAACTATATGCTTCGTTATTATAATGAAAAATCAAGTAAAAATATATTAGATTTTGATTTTTGTTTTCTTTATTTTGTCTATTAGTCATCTAGAAAATACAAGTAGATTATCCCCATTTAAAAATTGAACTGGGATCATATGCATATTTATCATTTCGTAAAGAATCGCCATAGTATTTCGACGAAACAGGATATTTTAAAAAGACACTACGTAATTGTTCAGCAGCTAATCGACATTCCCGACTTGTAGCACAATTAGTCAATAGTCGATGACGAATTGGTTCTACTTCTTGTAAAACTATAGATTAACAAAAAAAAGATTAATTTTTCTTGTCAACAGGAGACTTTGAAAAATATTACCGTGTTCCCAACCAGGCTCATTGGGTACAGTCCATTCATGACCATGAATAACGATTTTTTGAGTAAGAGGACGACATTCAATGTTAGATTGTTGAAAAACAAAAAGACAGATGATCATCAAGATCGGTGCACTAAAAAATTGTGACATTATTTGTAACTAAAATGAAAATTAATAAAAATAAACATTTTATTACATGGATAATGTATATTTTTAAAAAAAAGTTAGATTAAAATCTTTATTAGGACACAGTTAAACACTAATAAAGAACAGCTCGAATTTTTCACAGGAGAGAACAGATGTTATCATATGTTTATTTTCTCTATACTTTCTCTCATACTTCTTATAATAATCCTATGATGAAAAAACCAATTGTATTTATTTTGAAACACATACTTTATCTTAGAAATGAGCAAACGAATCGACGTACAAGTCTGATCAGGATGTATAACATCATATATAGGTAGAGAAAATAGTTATTAATAATACTAATTACAGCACGCCTCTTTCCTATCATATATAACTATACAAGTGCCCAGCGAAGTAAGGCCACTTCTAATTAAATCACTCGTTTTTTAGTTCTGTAAAGTTAAAGATGAATAAAAAAATTTTAAAAAAACTAGACTTCTAAAAATTTCTTTTCTCTTTTTAACATTTGACAGCCTGCCATGTTAAATCTATTCTACTACCTCTTTTTGAAACATGCATCTTTTTCAGTAGATGTAATGAGGGTTATTCCGAATTCGCTTATAAGCCTCCAGTCAATAAAAATAGGGATGAACATATATTGTTTGTTGCTAAGAGCGGCTTGTCTTCTTTGAATTTTTTCTTTGCACTATCTGTTCGTTTCACTTTCATATGAAAGTGAAACGAACAGATAGTGGAAAGAAAAAATTCAAAGAAGACAAGCCGCTCTTAGCAACAAACAATATATGTTCATCCCTATTTTTATTGGCTGGAGGCTTATAAGCGAATTCGGAATAATCCTCATTATAAATCTGATTTAAAGATGATGAGATTGCTCTAAGAATCTTCTTTTGACTAACCAGTTACTTAACTATTATAATAAGTTCTTTCAAATACAATAGATCATAACTTTGTGAAATAAGATTAATATCGCAAACAGAAGTCATGCTCAGTTTAGTTTTGATCTTATATATATATATATGGAAAATTTGTCCAGAGACAATGAACGTTTTTTTTCTCTCTCTTTCTATTATTAGTTATATGATGGTCGTCATATGAGTAAAAAGGTCAACATAATTATTGAAGACTTTTCTTAGCTGTTTTCTTTTTTCTCGTCTATACTTCCTTTTATTCTCTTCCAGTAAACATTTCTGTGTAGGTGCGTACTAAGTAACACGTCATTGTTCTTATTTTTCTAATTAACAAAGATACACCAAATGCGTATATAGACACAGTGAGCTTTTTTTGTGCGACATAAGTGTCAACATATTCTTAAAGGTATTATCTACCTGCAATACAATTTATAACCTTAATATCAAGAACTTTGTTTTGTTCTTATTTTGATATTTGTTCTGTTTGAAGCTTATCAGTTGCAAAAGTTTTCGTTTCGTAGCCAGCATGAATTTCAGTCGATTTTTTATAGTTGTTTTAAGTCTTCTAATTTCATACGCTCATGGTGAAGAATGTGGATGTAACAAAATACCATCGATAGAAGTGATTAATGATGAAGGATTAGCTAGTGGAATTAAAGAAGTTCGTGATGATTTTCTTGCAAGACAACCATCACGTAACTTTACTCGATTATCTGCAACAATACTTATCAGAGAGAAAGGGACACAAATATGGAAAAGGGGTAGTGTAGACGGTACTTTAGTAGAATATCCAGCATCAACAGTAAAATTAATGTATATGTATTCAGCTATGGAATGGTGTAAAAAGCAAGGCCAACCAATCGATTGTTTAGATAGATACGTTCGTCCAATGGTTGTAGTTTCATCAAATTTAGATACAGGTTATGTTGTTGATGCCATAACAAATACAACAAATATTGATAATTTAACTTCAGTTAATGATACTCGTTGGCCAGATTGGTGTTATGAACGTTTATCAACTGAACGTTTATTGCAAGAACTTAATTTGTATGAAAATCAAATAATTCGAAGTAAAACATATCCAACAAATTCTGGTCAATTGCCAACTGGTAGTGAATTAGTTTTACTTCGATCTCCTTATCAACGTAATCTTTTACAATCATGTTGTACAGCATCATTTATGCTTTATTTAATGAAAACACGTTCAAATAATGAATTACAATATATGAAATCTATGCTTTATCGTACACTTGAAAGTGATCACACAACATTTGGTAATGGTTTACCAGCTGGCACAATACTTTATTCAAAATCTGGTAATGCTTATGATACAGTTGAAGAAATAGCTTACATTATATTACCTAATGGTAAAGAAATAATTCTTTCAGCATTTAGTAATGGTTTTCAAAGACGTGCAACTGATTATTATATTCTTGGTCGATTTGCTGAAATGATTCTTAACAAATTTACACTTGCTTCTCCATCGACAATTTTATTTACAACAGATAATCAACATATTTATACCTGTGCAAATAATCCAATAAAATATACAACATCACTTCCAAAAGATAATATTGGGCAATCATTAATTACTTTTAATAATTCATGTATTATTCATCCAATTTTATCTACACGTGGTGTTTATACTGTATCAATTTGGAATCCATCTTTTCTTGATTCGTCAACAAATATAAATTCTCGATTAAATGTTGCTGTTACAGATGCATATAATTACACAGATGGAGATGATGGATATGTTTATGATCAACAAGCTAGTCTTTCGCGTTGGATATCAGTTGGAGATTTTGTACTTGATGCCGGACGTCAAAATGTTTATTTGAAAGCACTAGGTCAACAATCCGTTTTTAATGCTATTCGATTTTCCATGCATCCCCCATTAACCATAGATTCGACTAGTAATTCGAAATCTTCCATATTTGTTTCATGTAATACATTTATTTACTTTATCTTTTTATTTCTTCAAATTCGATCGATCTTCTATTGATTATTATTTTATTAATTCTTTCAACATGTTTAGTTTTAGAGTGAAAAGAATGTTTTCCTACACACGAAGAAAGTAACTTTTTTTATTAAAAATAAATCCTAATTTAGTAAACAATGTAGCATTCGCTGATGTTTTAAATGTTCAAGAAATATTACATTTAATTGTCATGAAAAGAGCAGCAATTCAGTTTATCGACAATAAGTATGTATAAGATCAATACTAATTAACAAAAAAAAAATAGAAAATGAATCGATTAATCGTTCATCATAGAAAACATCGATACAATCTAGTTGATATTTCTTTGTCTTACACTTTTTATTACTAGTTGCATGGGACTAAAGTAGTGCCTAATTGTACTCAATTCATTCAATCTTATAAACTATATATTAATATTCAAAGTCTAACGACAATAAAAAATAATCAAAAAAATTAATCCAAGACAAAACAAACATATTTAAATTTTCATTTTTATAATATTTGAATGAAATAAAATCAAAAATAATATTTTCATGAATTCGAGTCGTTGCTATTATGAACTTAAAAAAAACTTGTATTTAATGAAGATAATAGCACAATATGATCAAATCCTTCTTCATTTTCTTCTCCATCATTAATACAAGCCCAATCTACATATTACTAAAACCAACTTTTGTTTTTTAATGAATTACATATAAATAAGGAAATCGAAATATTTTCTAATCAATCCAATCGGAACAAACAAACATTCAATAATATAATTTCCTTTTCATCATAACATAAAATTTTTCTCCGAACAAATGAATTATCACATAAAAATATAATTGCGATACATTTTGATTAAAAATTTTCTTTTTGAAATTATTTTCAATGATCACAGTTTATTTAAACAGCGTGAATATTATGTACAAACATAAGTTTATCTATAATTTGATTAGATTAATAAAATTATATCAATTTCTGTTGATTAAAATTCTCTTTAAATACATATCAAAGTCATCTGGTGCATCAGCATAAACCTTTAAAAAATAAATCAAGCATAGATTAATTTAAAAAAGAAAAATATTTTGTTTATTTACATGATGTCCAGCTTCTTTAATTGTATCTATATAAACATTGTCACGTTTTCCTTGAGCGATCATCGATGAATTAATGTCAATCCATGAATGTTCACCATGAAGAAAATGTATTGGAATTCGCTGATCAATTAAATGTATTCGATCAATCATAGGTTCTACAAAAAAAAAAAAGAAGAAATTATCAAATTAAAAACAAAACAGAAACGATATAAAAAAATACGAACTTTTTGCCCATGCAAGTAGATCACTTATGGTTCGAAAAGCTTGTTCACCTGTTGGTAATTGAGCATTACAATGATATAAATACTCTAAGATTCTATCATCATTAAATAACTTTTCAAATTTAACACGTAAATCTGGTCGAAAATATTTCATTATATGAACACCTAATTCAATAAAATTATATAAAATAAATTAAAATTCTTTTTTTTCGCGTACCAAATGGTCCAGCTACACGAAGTCCAGCAAGTGGAGAAATTTTCATCATGACTGCTGAAAATGATCTTAACCATGGTGGTATACGCTGCATAGGTGATTTTTGCCAATTATCTGGTTTTCGTCCAAAACCCCATGGATCAACTAAAACTAGTTGTTCAATATATTCTGGATAACGTATAGCATATGATGCACTTAAAAAACCACCAAAACTATGACCAAGAAGTATAAAACGTTCATTCAGTCCAACTCCGATTCTCCATTCTTCAAGCATATTAACAAATTGTTGTTCAGCTTCATCAGAATCAAGACTAAATATTGGTCGAGTACTACGTGCAAAACCTGGTAAATCAAGAGCATAAACAGGTCGATCAGTACATAATTGATCGAGATTTAAACTCCATAAGCCGACACCACCACCAAATCCATGAATAAGTACAATAGGAATGTTATTTGATGTTAAATTTGAACAAACAGTCCAAATTTTTTGTGTATCATTTAAAACATTGATAAAACGACCTTGAAATTGTGATTTTAAAGTTTCAAATATTTTCATTTCAGCACGTACTAATTTTTCGGGACCCGTATTATTCCATG